TAGTTGAATTATCTGCTGTTGCACTTGCATTGCAGTCTACTTTGGATGTAGCGGTTAACATATACACCGATAGCAAATATGTGTTCCTATCGGTGCCTCAATTGGAAACTTGTTCATTCCTTCCTAAATCCTCAACTGCTTCTCCTTCGTTTTCTCGCATTTGCACTGTCATTCGGCAGCATACCTGCCCTTTCTTTATAGGTCATATTCGAGCACATTCCAATCTTCCTGGACCTTTGGTAGAGGGTAACCATTTGGCAGATTCTGCTCTATGCATATATTCTATTGATACAGCAACAAAAGATCACGTTTTACATCACTTAAGGGCTCATACATTACGCTTAATACATAATATTACTCAAGAACGAGCTCGACAAATTGTAAAATTCTGTTCTACTTGCTCCATCCAGTTACCATTACCTCACTTTCAAATTAATCCTCGTGGTTTATTCCCCAATCAACTATGGCAAATGGATATCACCCACTTCATGGAATTTGGTAAACAAAAATATATACATGTGTCTATCAATACTTGTTCTGGATTTATTTTTGCTTCCTTACATACAGGTGAAGCTACAAGACATGTTGTTGCCCGTTGCTTACAAGCTTTTGCTTCCCTAGAAACTCCAAAGGAAATTAAAACAGATAATGAACCTGCCTATATTTCTGCCTCTTTTAAAAATTTTTGTGTAACTTTTTTCTATCTCATGTTACTGACATTCCTTATAATCCTCAGGGTCAAGGCATTGTTAAACGTACACATAATACTTTAAAGCAATGCTTTAATAAAATAAAAAAGGGGGGATTTGGAGTTCTTGCCCATTCTCCTAACAAATGGCTCTCACGTGCTTTATTCATTTTAAATTTTTTCACATTGGATAAAGATGGTCGTTTTGCAGCTGATCAACACTGGCATCCACAAACAGCTGCGAAAAGAGCAATGGTGAAATGGAGGGATCCTATCACCAATCAGTCGAATGGACCTGATCCGGTACTGGTATGGGACATGGGCTCCTAAGGGATGGGTATTTTTATGCAACCAATTTGCTTTTACATTGTTAGCCCCTAATGATTTTTGCAACTGCTCACTGGGCCATGTGGCCCCAATGCTAACATCTGTATTTCCAAAGGCACGACAGCGACGCTCATTACCTGAGAACTGTGATGATGATGTCATCTTAATTGGAGACCTGCTTTCACCATGGCTATGCAGCTAGTGGGAGTTCCTGGATTGGCTTATGGAAATAATCGTGGACTACGAAGGCTCACATGTTTGGTGACCAAAACAATCAATCTCACTGCTACTGTGCTATCCAATATAGCTGAAGAATTGGATCAAGTTCGTTCAGGAGTACTCTTAAACCGAGCAGCTATCGATTATTTGCTATTAAAAGATCATATAAGCTGTAAATCTGTTCCAGGGGGATGTTGTTTTAACATTACTAACAATTTGCCATATATAGAGTCTGTTATTGATAAACTTGAGAGTAAAATACAACATATGTTTATTACTAACCCACTATTCATTTGGAGGGTTTCAATGGATTCATTGGTTATTAATGTTGGCTGGACCGCTACTGGTTTTCCTACTTTGTATGGGATGTTTTCCGTGTGTTCTGCAATTTGTGCTAACCTCCCTACAGTCTGTATGGACTGACATTCATCATTTAAAACTTTGTACCAAACCTCCTTTGTAATCAAAAATAATTAATATTTGACTATATGTTTCCTCTCTCTCCTAATGTCAGGCTGGTCCGATGGTAGTGGGTTATCAGAACTTATCAACATTAGTGTCACTAAAGTTGGTATACAACCCCCCACTACTAAATTTAACTGGCTTTAAAAAAAATATCAATCATTCGTCAACTGCCCTATTTTTATTAAACGAAAAACAACAAGTATTACGGCAAGGTATTCTAGATAATAGTGCAGCCATTGAATATCTTCTCTTATTACATCACAAAAAATGCAATCAAGTTAAAAATATGTGTTGTTTTAATCTTACTGATAATTCTCTTAGTATTGCTAGTGAAATCCAAAAACTCACAGAACTTGCTTCTCACTTTACTCAAGACAAAGGGTCCAAAAGCTTATTCAATTGGCTTACATCCTGGCTGCCAAATTTATTCTGGCTTAAAGAACTGTTTGTGGGGATTGTAATCTTTCTTGTAAGCCTCCTTACAGCCTGTCTTGTCGGCAGGTGTTTCGTGTATTTTCTAACTAGGCCTTGGAAGTCCCTCAGAAAATAAGACAGTGGGTAGTCAACGATGGGTAAGATGGGTTGCCGCACATATCAACCTAAGACAGGGATTCATCGATGACGATGGATTCTGATGATGGGTAAGAATGTGCAGGTGGAACCCACAACCTAAGACCCGGTGTGGGCCGAGTGCACGCGCAGATGTGGGCCGCTGGTGGCAGACGAGACGGGGGCTCCAGCTCGAGCACCTTCCGCTGTGGCCACCCCGGTAGGGCCGCCGGTCGAAGCTCCCGTCGCGCTGGGCACCTGCAGAGCTTCTCCCAGATGGGCATCCCCCGGCTGCCGGGTCGGAGGCAGGTTCTGGCCGAACGACTCCAGGAGGCCTCGCTCCCGTGGGGAGCCGGCGACACGCAGCTATTCCCAGTGCGGCTCCCGCTGCCGCTGCGCGGGGCGCTGTGTCGTCGCTCCGTGCCTGCCCCGGAGTCTGGCGGCGGCCCAGGGAGGCCCTGGTGCGTCCACATCCCCGCCCCACCCTTGCTCAGAGTGACCGCTGGCTCAACGAAGGCCTGAGCTTGCAAAGCAGGGTCTCAACCTGGAGAGTGGGGAGGGAGGGGACAAAGCCAGCGGCTAGTGGACTCTGGGGCAGCAGACAGGGCAGGGGGCCCAGCAGGGCAGAGGCAGAAGGTACAGTCCACCACCTCCGCCTTCCCCGGGCTCAGGCAGAGGCCCAAGGGAAGGGATGTTTGGGGAGAGAGGATGCAGGTCCAGGGGCCTTGGGTGTTGGAGAGAGCCTGGGAGCAGGGCTCAGACCAGCCAGGTGGGCCTCGCAATCTGGACCTGCCCCCAGGCAGAGAAGCCTGCTTGGCAGGGTGACCCAGGGGCTCGACCCAGAAAGGCACAGCTGTGTATCCCCCACCAATTCCTGATGGCCATCAGAGAGAACTCACACTCCAGGGCCCAGGCCAGGTGTGCCACAGGGTGCAGGGACCCCTGGAATAGAGTTTGCTTTTTCCTCTACCTCCACCCCAGGGTAGGGGCCGAGCTCAAAGCTGTGGAGCTCCCTTTGCTCCCAGTGTATTCACCCCAAGGAGGCGAGACGCCGTGGGGCCACCAAACACTGGGCCCCGACTGCTGTCCGTGCAGAGGTGTCCTGGCAGTGTGCCAGCTCCAGCAGGCGCAAAGACACCACATCGCAGGAACACAGCTCTGATGGAGTGCCCCCAAGTCTGAGGACCGGGACACACAGGTGAACTGGCTGCAAAGTACACGGGAACGCCTGGGCTCAGAGGCAGCCTGCTCTGGCTGCCAGGACCTCAGGCCCCTCTCACAGCACCAAGGCTGCACCTCAGCTGTTGGCTGGGTTCCAGCTCTGGACTCCTGGCCCGGTTTTGCAAAGCACATGAAAGCTACTGGTTGGCCCCTCGTGTAAAACCAACTATTTGGGCTCGAATCGCTTCCTAAGCATTTGGCTTTGAGCAAATTCCTTAATGCTCTGTGCCTCTGTTCCTGACCTGTACAAGGGGTAGCAGCCTGCAGGGAGGTTTCCTACAGCCATGGAAACTGGCTCCGTGCCTGCACACAGTTGGTGCTCATAAGTGCTGACTGTGGTCGCCCTCATTGTTATTGCTGGGGACCCCAGTGTCCTGCACTTGGGGGGGGGGTCACACGAGTCCCCTGGAATCCATGGGTCCAAGCCTGCCCTCTCCCTGGGGCCTCTCTCCAGCCTCTGCTATCCCAACCCATCCTCCCTAGGGGTCCTCCTCCCTCCACCGCTTCCCCTTCCCCAGAGACCCGCCAGCCCACTCCCCCACCACCCTCTGAGCAGATTGTAGCTGCACAGCCACCCTGACCGTCCAGTGACGCCAGTCCCTCACGCCTCGTCTCTGTGGCCTGCATGGCACGGTTGCACCTGGCTCCTGGCCCTGGGTGCTAGGAAACCCAGTGGGACAGGAGCCCATGGCTCCCCTCCTGCTCCGTCTGAGCCCACCCTCACGGGCACCTCGAGCTCTGGACTGCCAGCTGGTCCTGGAAGTTCCCAGCCAGACTGCCTGGGTCGGGTGGGCAGCAGGTGCAGGGGGCGTGGAGGAGGCCCTTTCTTCCCGTCCTTCCGTCCTCACAGAAGGGCCGCGGGTCCACCCAGCGGAGGCCGAGTAGCACACTGCTCCCTTTAGTGCAGCTGTCCTGTGAGAGGGAGGAACTGCTGACCCTTGGTAAAGCAGGTCAGGCAGTGTTCAGAGTCACAGCCAGGGGAGGGTAGCGGGGCTATGACTGGGCAAGAGGCATCTACAACGAAGGGACAGAGTGTGCGATGTTCGTGCCCAGTGCCCAGCACCTCGCACGGCTGTCCCTGCCTGGTCCCAGACTCTGAGCAGGCGCCGGCTGAGCGCTAGACACCAGACGGTGCGGGCACAGGATGCAGGCCTTGAGGCCGGGTCAGCCCCCAGGGCAGCCCGCCGTGGGGCGCGAGCTGACCTTCGGTTTTCGAGGGTGTCACCCGGTGGGCCAGGGATTTGGGTCAGTGCGGGTCATTTGGGTCACTCTTTCCATGTGCCCGCGGGCGGCGGGAGAGGCCAAGGATGCCCGGGCCAAGCCCCGCCCCTTCCACGGCCCCGCCTCCACGGGGCTCGGCTCCGCCCCATCCCCCCGGGGTCCTGGGAGGGGAGCCGGAAGCCACCGAGACGGTGGAGCCTCCGAGCGGCCCAGAAAGGCCGGAAGTGGCGGGGCAGGCGCGGGCGCCGCGGTCCGTTTCCGGCGCCGCCGCTCGCTGGCGAGCTCCGGGCGCTCTTCTGGGCGGGTGAGTCCGCGCGCCCCACGCGCCCCTCTGCCCGGGTTCCCGCGCCCCGGGGACTCCGGCCCCGCGATGCCTGCACGCACTGCCTGCCGGCCCTTGCTCGGAGAGGCCTTGGGAACCTGGCTGGGACGGGGTCGCCCCGCGAACCCGGCCGCGTGGCGGCCGCCCCGGTCAGGGGCCTGAGGCGAGCTCGCGCTGCCGGCTTCCCCGGGCCCTCTCCCTCGTGCAGCTCGAGAGCTGTGCCCTGGGCGGGGTAGGCGCTTCGTCTTTCTGGATCCTGGCTGCCGCGCAGGGCCTGCCCCGCTCCACAGGGGCCCTCCTGCGGGGTCTCTGCCTGGGCCACCCTCCCTGTGCCGGAGGCGCGGGGATTCCACACACAGGCCGCTTTCAGGGCCAACCGCTGCCCCAGAAAGTCTGCTGCTTCCTTTCCCACCAACAGGGAGACTCCCTGGGGTCGGTCGTTCAGTGGTGGACGGCCCAGCTCCGATTATGTCCCCGGGGCTGATGCTGTCGGGCGACAGGAGAGCGTGACTGGATTTTGGAGTTCATGTCCTTGGAGGCAGAGGCTTCTGGGTCCACTCGCGTCCATTCTACAGTCCATCATTCCGGCCCGTCTCTAACCTCCAGTCTGTCCTGCCTCCACTTGCTGCCTGTGGACAGCCAGACTGGCGCGTTCGACCCCATATCCTCATGCTGGCCTCTCACCCTGGCCTCGGGCCCTGAGGAAGTGACCGTTAACTAAATCAGAGCTTCCTAGCTTAAATGCATTCGTAGTTTTCTGTGCCTCAGCACCATCGTAATTATAATTGTGTGTGTGTGTGTGTGTGTTGTAACTTACCCCCACCAGGCGCACCACGCAGGCGGGGTCCTTCAGCCCTCACTGCCGCACCCTGGCTGCTCAGCTGAGTGCCTGGCACGCGGCACCCACTCCACAGGTGTTTGTGGAGTGACTCCTATCACACACACGCACAGAAAGATGAAACCGGCTTGGGGGGGCACGTACTCGAGTGTGATGGCTGCTTGGGTCCACGCTTGTCCTGCTGCGGAGCATCTGGGTTGGGGGGGGGCAGAGAGCACAGTGGCCCCTGGTTAGCCTGGAAGTAGGGGCCTGCCACCCACCTCTGATGCTTGCTTCTTGCCAACAGGTCTCGGCAGGACTTGTGGATGCCACCCACCCAGCCTCATGGTAGGAAGCCCGACTGCCTCCTTTTCCGCACAGCCTGTGAAACCTCACCTCTTGCTTTGGGCGTCAGCCCTGCCAGCTGGGCCTGGGCCCAGCTCCTACGTGGCCCTTGCCAGGTCCAGGCAAGCCCCCTTTGCTCCCTCCCCAAGGCAGTGAGCAAACCTCCACTCGGACCAGAGCCACCTGAGGCTCCTAAGGGGGGCGGGTTGTGAGATCACCGTAGACTGGGTCCCTCTCCCCCAAACTACCCTGCCTCAGGATTTTACAGCCAGAAGAGCCCATCACCGTCTCGCCCAACTCCTCCTTGCACTTGCCTGAGACGTGCTGTGAGGTGGTGCCAGAATGGGGCTGGCACCCAGGGGTCCCTGGCGTGCTGGTGTGTGTCCTTTCAGGAGGCGGTGACATTTGGCGATGTGGCTGTGCACTTCTCTCGGGAGGAGTGGCAGTGTCTGGACTCTGGCCAGAGGGCCCTCTACAGGGAGGTGATGCTGGAGAACCACAGCAGTGTGGCCGGACTAGGTGAGGCTGCACCTGGGGACCCCACCCGCGTCGTCAGTCAGCACCCACTCAGGCAGGCCTCTGTCAGTGGTGGGGGATACGGAAGCTGAGTGCTCAGGCTGAACGGGGGCCCTGGATCTGGGAGTGCCAGGCTGGCTGCAGGCATACGCCTGTCACGATTCAGCCTCCAGGGCAGACAGAATTCCAGAGCTGGTAAAGCCCCTCTTCCTGAGCTATTACATTGTGAGAAGTAGAACCCGAACTTGAGGTGACTTCGACAAAAGGAGAAATTATTGCCTTGGGGAATCCAAGGAAATGGTTGTCAGCCAGAGCCAGGGGTGGCCGCAGTGCCCTCTGGGGGCTGTACAGATGCTGTCAGGGCATCCCCTCACCTATCCTGCCCTGCCCCTGTCTTCCCATTCCTGCCTCCACCAGAGGTGGCCACTCCAGCCTCTTGATCATCTTCATGTCCTCCTGGGATGTGCTCTGTTGTTGGACTGCAGCTTTGGGAAGGGTGTGTGTGTGTGTGTGTGTGTGTGTAACTTCTCTTTCCTGCAACCAGCCTCTTTCCATGGCCCCATGTCCTCTGCAGCACTACAGTGCGTGAGCATCCTGGACCCTCAGGAAGGTTTCTGGTGTGGGGAGGGGGCCGCAGTTGGTGAATCAGCTGCTTTTCAGGATGCTGGACCAGGCCTGTGCCCCTTGGTCCTGGCTGGTCTAGCAGAGTCCGGAGCTTTCTGACGTTTTGTCAGTCAGGCCCAGAGCCCTGTCTGCATTCCTCCCGGGGTTGCTCTGCTTTGTTGATTGAAGGTGTCGTTGTTTCTCGTATTAGCTTCCATTGACCCTAAGACGCTGTGCATTGTTAACACACTAGACGCACCATTATTATCTGTAAATTATTTTAAGAAAGGCGGCATGCTGCTGATTGTAGCATATTTCAAAAATTAAACTTATGTTTGATTTTAAATATTTATTTATTTGAAAGGTGGAGTTAGAGAGAGAGAGAGAGTCAGGTCTATTCACTAGTTCGCTCTCCAAACAGCTGCAATGGTCAGGACTGGTCCAAGCTGAAGCCAGGAACTAGGAGCTGCTTCTGTGTCTCCCACATGGGTGGCAGGGGGCGAGCACTTGAGCCATCTTCCACTGCTTTTCCCAGGCCATTAGCAGGGAGCCGTATTGGAAGTGGAGTAGCCAGGATACAGACTGGCACCCAATGGGATGCCAGTGTTGCAGGTAGTGATCTAACCTGGTATGCCACAGCCCCGGCCCCAAAATGTATGTTCTTTAAAGAGCTCTGTTAGACTCATTTGTACATGGTTTACCATAAGCCACTGAAATAGAAAGGGAAAGACACGTGGTGAATTGGCTAGGGTATTCTTTTTTGCACAGCCGGTAGTGAGTCACATCTGCGCTTCGTGCGTGATGGTGGCCTGTGAGCCGGCCCTCGAGAGCTGATGCACTCCCCTGCGCGTGGGTGGGGTTTTCGTCCATCCATCAAGGTTGACAGGAAGCTTTCTTGCTTGGCACGTGGCAGCCAGTGACAGACCACCCGGCTGTGCTGCCATGCTGCCCTTTCTCAGGCCCTCTGCACACAGCTGCTGGCTTGCCAGTGACTGGAATTGCAGTCAGTCCTCCACCAGCAGTTGGCTTCTTGTAGAGATTTATTTATTTATTTGAAAGGCAGATTTACAGAGAGAGAGCTTCCATCCACGTGTTCTCTCCCTAAATGGTCACAACAGCTAGGGCTGGGCAAGACTGATGGCAGGAGCCTAGAACTGCATCCAGTCTCCCACATGGGGTGGCAAGCACCTAAGCACTTGGGCCATGTGCTGCTTTCCTGGCACATTAGCAGGAATCTGGACAGGAAGTGGAGCAGCTGGGATTTGAAGTGACACTCATTTGGGATGCCAGCATCCCAGGAGGCAGACAGCTTAGCCCACTGTGCTACAGTGTTTGCTTGTTCAGTCTCAACTGCAGCATTTTCCACTTTGCTTGTACAATAGCTCCTTGCTTCAGTGCCAAGTTCTAAGACAACGTTTTGAGACAGAGGGAAGAACAGACTCAACATGTGTTGTGTGATGCTGGTGACAGCTGCAGAATGATGATCTGAGCATTGTGGGGCCGAGTTCATGTTTGTACATGGGACGGAGAACATGTGTATGCAGGCAGTGGTGGCGCCTGTGGCTGAGCTCACATGTGTACGGGCAGTTGTGGTATGTGACCAGATACACACGACAAGGGCGGTGGTAGTGCATGTGCCTGTGTGTTCACGTTTACACGAGCGGTAGTGGCATGTGACTGAGCACACTGGTGCTGGATACATTACTACCTGGTTGATGATGATTTTAAGTTCAAGTTGTGTCCAAAGTTAGAGACGGGGAAGTGTGTTATAAACAGTCTGTCTTGGAATCCTCCAGATATGGTAATACCACACAGGCTTTAGTGTGTTGTAAACATCTGTTCCGCTTCTCTCGTGCTCCCATCAAATTTTAGTTTAGTATTCTCCAGTTTTTGCCTATGAGTTGTGCCTTTGAAATTTATTTGTTTGTTTATTTTTAAAGATTTTGTTTATTTGGGAGGAAGAGTTACAGGCAGTGAGAGGGAGAGACAGAGAGAAAGGTCCTTGGTTCACTCCCCAGATGGCCTCAATGGCCAGAGCTGCACCGATCTGAAGCCAGGAGCCAGGTGCTTCTTCCCAGTCTCCCATGCGGGTGCAGGGGCCCAAGCACTTGGGGCATCTTCTGCTTTCCCAGAGCTGGATTGGAAGAGGGGCAACCGGGACTAGAACTGGCACCCATATGGGATGCTGGCGCCACAGGCAGAGGATTTACCTACTGTGCCATGGAGCCAGCCCCCCGCCCCCCCGCTTTTTTTTTTAAAGAATTATTTTATTTATTTGGAAGAGTTACAGAGAGAGGTAGAGCCAGAGAGAGAGAGAGAGAGGTCTTTCATCTGCTGGTTTATTCCCCAAATGACCTCAATGGCCAGAACTGAGCTGATCTGAAGCCAGGCGCCTCTTCCAGGTCTCCCACATGGGTGCAGGGGCCCAAGGACTTGGGCTATCTTCCATTGCTTTCCCAGGTCATAGCAGAGAGCGGGATCCAAAGAGGAATAGCTGGGACTGGAACCGGCGCCCATATGGGATGCCTGCACTGCAGGCTGGGGCTTTAACCCACTGTGCCACAGCACCAGCCCTGTGCCTTTGAAATTTTAAAATTTCTTTCCTACTCCCAAGCATTGAGGTAGGCAACATTTTCTCCTGTGGATTTTATAGTTTAATTTTCTCATTCGTGTCATGACCCTAGATTTCTGTTGGAGTTCAGTAAAAATCTTGTTTTATTTTTCGTCAAGAGACAGGTGTTTTACCAGCATCATCTACTGAGTAGTCTCACCTTCCTGTGAAATGTTTGTTTCTGAGCTCGGGTCTCCTCCCTGATCGTTCTTGTGGGCCAGCTCTCTGCTTCTTGATTTGGATTAGGTGAGTGGGATTTTCACTGGGCGTGGCTTGAGTTCACTGAGAGCCTTTGGAGCAGTGATCCCCTGTGCGTCTGAAGCTTCGGTTCTTGTTGTTTTGTGGATCTCTCTTGGGCGACTGTGCTTCAGCTGATAGCTGCAGCCGCCCACCAATGCTGCCAGCCTCGGAGGGCTCCGTCGAGCCCCTTTGCTAGTTGGTGATTCTGCCCTGTCCTCCAGGAGGGGGCTCAGTGACTGAGAGTTCGTGCCCTCCCTGCCATAGCCCTCACCTCTTTTCACCTTGGCAGTGGCCAGCCTGATGTTGAACAGGGCCCCCGAGGCTTGTTGTGCTCTGTGCATCCACAGAAGCATGTAGGGATTGACTGAGTTTTCTTTTTGATTTTAAATAAGAATTTCAAATTCTTGTTCCTTATTGATTGAGATAATCACACGATTTTTAAAATTAGAGTAGTAAATTACAACTGGTATGTTTTGAGTACTCCTAGAATAAACCCTACCTAGTTTACAAATAATTACCTAATTACCTTATTTACAAATAAGTTTTGAACTCTGCTGGCCAGTAGTACATTTTGGATTTTTGTATCCCTGTTCATAAGCAATGACTTAGATATTTCTTTTTATTGTCTTTGTATAATTTTGACGTTTTTGACAAGCGGCATTTGGCATACAAATTCCATGAAATAAGCTGGGCAGGTTTGCTGTCTTTTCAATTTCGGGAAGAATTTGTAGGGTCAGGGTCACTGTGTTGGTTGTGATTGGCTTTTGCCACGAGTCCGTAGTAGCCTTTTCACAAAACGGGCTTTCGTTTTGCTGATCTTTTTTGTGGGGTGGGGGGCGGAGATGTTGTTGTATGTCTGTTTTGTTGAATCCTATCCCACTTTTATTATTTTGTTTCTTTTGTTGGGGTTGGCTGTGTTGTTTTGTTTACAGCTTCTGGAGTTTAATAGTTATCCTCATTTGTGTTTTATTATCCTTGTTTCTAGTAAATATGTTTTAAAATTGTATCTTTGCATACTGCTTCTGCTGTATTTTGTGAATTTTGCCCATGATAAACATAGCTGCCATCTAGTAATCATTTGGTTCCCCCGGGGCTGGCATCCCCGAGCTGCGCTTGTGCGGTTGCTTCCATACCAGGTGTACCTGGTTGGGTGCCTGTGGTGTGGTGGTGGTCCTTGCGCTTCCATGACGCCCTTCACGGCTGGACACAGGTGTTTCCCTGTTGCTGGGGTCTTGTCTGCATCTGAGGGCTTGAGCTTGTAGGCTGCAGACCTGTGGGATCCCTGCCTCTCTGTTCCCAGAGACAGGAAGCTTCCAGAGCGTGCCGGCCCTTGCGGCTCATGCTCGTCCCTGCACTGACTGGCAGTGAAGCAGGTTGCCAGGTGGGCACACACCAGGCTCCCCCAGAAGGGATCCTCTGCACAGGGACTCCGGGCTGGGAGACCCCTGGGTGAGGATTGTAACCTAGACCCTCTGACTTAAAGTCTACTTTGCTTGCCTGTTTTTATTGTTTGTTTTGTTTTTTTTTTTTCTCTTATTTTTTAACCACCCCTGCCTCTTTGGTGTCTCTGCTCTACTGAGTGAAGTGCTGGCTTGTACTGAGGCTTCTTTCTACCTAGGGTACAGCTGTCCTGTCCTTTGCAGAAGTTTTAGTGACTGGACCACATGGGAGTCCAGAGCCCTCCATGTCCACCCCCAGGAGCTGGACAGATGAGACAGAACAGGGTGCAGTGTACTCTGACGCACATATGCAGAGGCTCTGCTTGTGCTCCAGCCCCACTGCCCCTTACTCCTGGAAAGCAGGGGGCTAAGGCCTGCACAGGCCTCCCAGCATGCTCCCCGCATCTCATGTTCTGCCCCCCACACAGCAGGATTCCTGGTCTTCAAGCCTGAGCTGATCTCCCGGCTGGAGCAGGGACAGGAGCCATGGGTCCTGGACCTGCAGGGAGCAGAGAAGACCGAGGCATCAAGGAGCCCCGAGACAGGTGAGGCTTGGGCCCTGCTGCAGAGATGCTCTGGGGTGAGGAGGACCCACACATGCGGCCTCCGGTGAGGAAGCGGGCAAGTCCACACGGCCAGGCTGTGATGCCTGGGCACTGAGGGGGAGTGGGAGAGACCAACCCGCAGAAAAGCAAGGACACATCATCCTACATCTGTTCAACTTCTGCTACCAGTACTTTTGTTAAGCAGGCATACAAATCTCTAGATCCAGCAACCTGGCTCTCAGCAGCCCCTCCTCCCTGCATTGGTTCTCTTCCAGAAGTTGGGGCCTGGGAGACCCCAGCCTGTCAGGTCAGCTTCTAGGGCTGCAGTAGACTCTTGTGACCAGGTGGCTGAAACAGCAGACGTTTGCTACCTCACAGTGGTGGAGGCCAGAGGCTGAAATCGGGGTGTCCGTAGGGACTCCGCATGAGGGCTCTCAGGAAGGACCCTTCCTTGCCTCTCCCAGCGTATCATGTTTTCTGGAAGTCTTGGCGTTGCTTGGCTTATAGACGTGGCACTCGTAGTCTCTGCTCTGTCTTCATAAATGCCTCCTTCCTGTGTGTGTCCAGTTAGAAGTCAGCCTGGGGCCCCGTCGTGCCCGGTTACCTCTGCAGCACCCCTATTTCCCAGTGAGCTGCACTGTGGTGTGTGTAGAGTCAGGGTGGAAATGCTCAGTCAGCCCAGGCGCAGGCTGCTGCCCTAGGATTAGCTCCCTCTGGGCACCTGTTGCCCCTGCTCAGCCTGCTCTGTAGCCATGCTGCTCCTTTTAGTGAGGCACCAGGGTTTGTGTGCATCCCAGCAGCAGGAAGGAAATTCACCTTCTGTCACTGTTGTGTCCTCACAGTCACTGCTGCAACAGGGCAGAGCCTGTCTTCACAGATGCCATGTTCTCCTAAGGCCAGCTGGAGGCAGGAGGGACAGTGCAGAATTGTAGCTTTCTCTTTGGTACATACATCCCCAGGCCACTTGGAAGGGCCCAGAGGGATCCTTTTATTTATTTCTTTATTTTTTAAGATTTATTTTATTTATTTGAAAGAGTTACAGAGAGAGGGAGAGACAGAGAGAATCTTCCATTCATTGGTTCACTCCTCAGATGGCGCAGGGGCCTGAACTGAACCAGTCCAGAGCCAGGCACTTCCTCCAGGTCTCCCACGTCGGTGCAGGGGCCCAAGGTCTTGGGCCATCCTCTGCTGCTTTCCCAGGCACATTTACAGGGAGCTGCATTGGAACGGTTGGGACTCTTAACAGGTGCCCATATGGGATGCTGGTGCTGCAATCTGGGGCTTTAGCCCACTGTGCCACAGCACTGTCTGCCAGAGGGATCCTTTTAAGCACAGGTATATTTTCTCTCTTATTACAATGAGATCCCTGAGGCTAGGTACTTTGTGGGGAAAAAAAAAAAAAAAAGAGGTTGCTTTGGCTTAGAGTTCTGGAGATTGAAATTCCAAGGGCAGTGGCCCCATTTGTTTGGCCTCTCGACAAGGACCTCACAGTGGATGGTGTCACAGCAGGAGTGTGTGTGAGAATGGAGGTGAGAGACTGGGGTCCCAAAGAACTCTTTTATTAAAGATTTTATTTATTTATTTGAGAGGTAGAGTCACACACTGAGGGAGAGACAGAGAGAGAGGTCTTCCATCCGCTGGTTCACTCCTCAGATGGCTGCAATGGTCAGAGCTGGGCCCATCCGAAGCCAGGAGCCAGGAGCTTCTCCCGGATCTCCCATGCGGGTGCAGGGGCCCAAGCACTTAGGCCAACTTCTAATGCTTTCCCAGGCTAAAGCAGAGAGCTGGATCGGAACTCCAACTGCCGCCAGCACCACAGGTGGAGGCTTAACCCACTATGCCACAGCTCTGGCCCCCATAAGAACTAATTCTTTCCAAGTGCAGCACCTCCAGTGACTAGGGTCCTCCTCCTAGGTCTGCCTCTGAACATCATAATTGGACCAAGTTTCTGCTGTTAGTCCTTGGAGTTCACACTCTTGAATGAGTTTGGGGAGACATTGTGTTTGAAACCTCACTCACACATATTGTGTGCATTGCAGCAGGAGGGAGAGCTGTGTTGCTTTGAGGAGGGTCATCAGGAGCCCTTGGCCATAGCTCCAGCCTCCTTGGTTCTACTGACCTACCACTCCATGTTATGCTCTTCCTGTTCAGAGTCTTCCGGATCCCCCTTGATTAGGGACAGAGCCATCAGGGGGTCAGTTAAAACGTAACCACCATTAAAATATTTCCAGGGTGGAGGGGAGATTTTATTTGAAAGGCAGAATTAGAGGGGGGGGAGACAGATCTTCCATTTGTTGGTTCACTCCCCCAAATGGCTGCAACCACGATTGGGCAAGGCCAAAGCCAGGGGCTTCATCCGGGTCTCCCATGTTGGTGCAGGGGCCCAAGCACTTGGCCCATCTTCCACTACTTTCCCAGGCACATTAGCAGGGAGCTAGATTGAAAGTGGAGCAGCCGGGACTTGAACCGGCGCACGTATAGGATGTTGGTGTTGCAGGCAGCGGCTTTACCCACTACACCACAATGGTGGCTTCTTATTGATTTTTTTTTTACCTAATTAATTTATTTATTTATTGACAGGCAGAGTTAGAGAGAGAGAGAGATCTTCCTTCTGTTGGTTCACCCCCAAAAAGGCCGCTACGGCCGGCGCACTCCGCCCATCCGAAGCCAGGAGCCAGGTGCTTCCTCCTGGTCTCCCATGCGGGTGCAGGGCCCAAGCACTTGGGCCATCCTCCACTGCCTTCCCGGGCCACAGCAGAGAGCTGGACTGGAAGAGGAGCAACCAGGACAGAATCCGGTGCCCCAACCGGGACTAGAGCCTGGGGTGCCAGCGCTGCAGGCGGAGGATTAGCCAAGTGAGCTGCGGCGCCGGCCTGTTTATTTTTTTAAAGACTTATTTTATTTATTTGAAAAAGCAGAGTTACAGAGAGAGAAGGAGAGATAAAGAGAGAGGTCTTCCTTCTGCTGATTCACTCCCCAAATGGCCAGGCAGAATCCAGGAACCTGGAACTCCGTCCAGGTCCCTCAAGTAACCCATACTTCTCCCAGAATAGTCGCAGGAAATCCGGCGCTGAGAAATGCAAGCACAGCCAAGTGCTTTGTGGCACCCTCATTCTTTGCTCAGTGGTGGCCTTGACTGCAAGCTCCTAGCCACAGTGCACAGCAGGAGGCCCTGAGCAGTGTCCAGCATGGCAGCCAGGACCGCACCATGCTCTGTCCTGGCTCTCCTCGGGGGCCTCCACCTTGGAGGCAGAGACAGCAGAGAGCAGTACATGCGGTGTGTTTCAGTGTCCTGCTTTCTCAGCCACACAGCAGAGAGGGGCTTGGGAGGCCGAGCAAGCCCTGTTGGAGAAACGGATGTGCCATGGTCGTGCGATTGTGCAGGTGAGGGCCAGGCCTGGAGTTGTCAGTGTCGTCTTTTTACTTGGCACATCCTTGCTGCATAGTAAAGGTGAAAAGTCTGGGCTCGGGGCTCAGACCTGAGCTGCTTCCTGACTCTCATGGCCTTGGTGGCTTCCCCTCTGAACTGTTCCCAGTGGGTGCAGATGCTGCTGAACTCACTGGGTCGTGGAAGAGTGATTGCGGAACCATTCTTGCTTATACATAGAAGAGGCTCAGGAGATGGTAGCTCCTTCCTTGCTGCAGGGTTGACAAGATCCTTCGCAAATTACTAGGAGCTCAAGACACCAGCAGTCATCAGGAGTTGGTAGGAAATGAGAGGCTGGCCGGCGCTGTGACTCACTAGGCTAATCCTCCACCTGTGGCACCGGCACCCCAGGTTCTAGTCCCGGTTGGGACATCGGTTCTGTCCTGGTTGCTCCTCTTCCAGTCCAGCTCTCTGCTGTGGCCTGGGAAGGCAGTGGAGGATGGCCCAAATGCTTGGGCCCTGCACCTGCATGTGAGACCAGGAGGAAGCACCTGGCTCCTGGCTTTGGATCGGTGCAGCGCGCCCGCCGTAGCGGCCATTTTGGGGGTGAACCAATGGAAAAGGAAGACCTTTCTCTCTCTCTCTCTCTCACTGTCTAACTGCTTGTCAAAAAAAAAAAAAAAAAAGGAACTGAGAGGCTGAAATTGGGGATGTGGGGTCACTGTGGGGTAGAATCTGGTAAGTTGTTACTGACTGTGGTCATGACCATGGTTAACGAGAAGTCTGGACCCAGAAGAGGTGTTGTGTTCTCTGGGATTTCAGAGTTTGGATTCCGGAAGGAAGCCTGCATTTATTTGGAGATTAGGGAAAGGAGATGTCAGAAAGACCTCTTGGAGGTGAGTGGACTCCTCCAGAAATGTGCAGCCGCAGGGAAGAAGTCAGTGTGGGCCAGTGGGCCAGTGGGTGGAGTGGCTTAGACACAGCTGGAGGCAGTGGAGAAGTCTAGGGTCCTGCTCAAGGAACAGCCGCAGGGAGCAGCTGCGAATCGCCTGGGCAGCCAGCTGTCTGCTGAGAGCCCCGGGAAGCTCTCAGCTGCTCTTCAGCCTCAGTCTCACGCATTCCTGCCGTTCAGTTCAGACGCCTGCTGCTCTCAGCCTGGTCCCACCCTCTGAGGCTCTGCCTGGTCTCGTTTTGCTTCTCGTGGACTCTGCCTTGCGCCAGAGCCCCGCACGATGGCCCTCTCTGCTCTTGGGGTGTGTAGCTCTTGGCGCTCTGCCCAGCACACTACAAGTACTTCATCATTGATTGTGTGAATGAAACCAAATTTGGAGAAGTATCACGGCTATCACACATTTGGGGTGTGTCACAGTGCTCACTGCAGCTTGTCTTGGGAAGTGATGGCCTCCCCACGGTCACTGTCATCTCTCTGAGCGCAGGACCTAAGAAGCATTTTTATTTTCTGCTTGTTTCAGATTCTAGGAAGAGGACTGACTACGAACAGGCCTGTGGGAGTACAGTCACTCCAAAACCAGAATCCAGCGTAACGATGGTCAGAGCTCTCCCACAGGGTTTTTCTCGAGGTCTTGGTTATGGAGACACTTGTGATTCTGAGGTCTGGTCAGAGAGTCATCCGCACAGCCTTGGCCTGAGAGTGAGGAGCTCCCGCATCCAGAAAAACTGTCCAAGCAAGGGCTCTGAGGCTCCTGAGACCCTCACCACAGACGCTGCCCGGGGATGTAAGGAGCTGGTGGGCAGTGGCATGGATTGTCAGCCTGGCAACAGTCAGAGAGAGAGAGCAGAAGGAGCGCTGCAGAGATGCGAAGCATGTGGCCGAGGATTCGGGCACACCCCAGATGCTGCTCTGCCCTGGGAAGTCGACATGCAGAAGAAACCCAGCAGATGTCAGGAGTGCCAGAAGACGCTCCCTGCCTGCCTGCAGGGAAAGCATCCAGGTGGCTGCCATGGAGAGAAGCCGTATGAGTGTGAGGAGTGTGGGAAAGTCTTCAGGCTGTGCTCGCAGCTTAATCAGCATCAGAGAATCCACACTGGAGAGAAACCGTTTAAATGCATTGAGTGTGGAAAAGCCTTCCGACTGAGCTCAAAACTTATTCAGCATCAAAGAATTCATACAGGAGAGAAGCCCTACAGGTGTGAGGAGTGTGGAAAGGCCTTTGGCCAGAGCTCAAGCCTCATCCACCATCAGAGGATTCACACAGGAGAGAGGCCCTATGGTTGTCCCGAGTGTGGGAAAGCCTTCAGTCAGCAGTCACAGCTGGTCAGACACCAGAGAACTCACACCGGAGAGAGGCCCTACCAGTGCAAGGAGTGTGGGAAGGCCTTTAGCCAGAGCTCAACTCTGGCTCAGCATCAGAGGATGCACACTGGGGAGAAATCTCAGATCCCAAGGACTTCAGACAGTCCAAGCCCAGTTACACATCAGAGAATTCACTCTGTGGAGAAGCCGTTTAAGTGTGATGAGTGTGGGAAAGCCTTTAGATGGATCTCTCGCCTTAGTCAGCATCAGCTGATCCACACTGGAGAGAAACCTTATAAATGCAACAAGTGTACAAAAGCCTTTGGTTGTAGCTCACGGCTTATTCGCCATCAGAGAACTCACACTGGAGAAAAGCCATTTAAGTGTGACGAGTGTGGAAAAGGCTTTGTCCAGGGCTCACACCTCATTCAGCATCAGCGAATCCACACTGGAGAGAAACCTTACGTTTGTAATGACTGTGGCAAAGCCTTCAGCCAGAGCTCCAGCCTCATTTACCATCAGAGGATCCATAAGGGAGAGAAGCCCTATGAATGCCTCCAGTGTGGAAAAGCCTTCAGTATGAGCACACAACTCACAATACATCAGAGGGTTCACACTGGAGAGAGACCCTATAAATGCAACGAATGTGGAAAAGCCTTCAGTCAGAACTCCACCCTCTTCCAACACCAGATCATTCACGCGGGAGTGAAGCCCTATGAGTGTAGTGAGTGTGGGAAAGCCTTCAGCCGGAGCTCCTATCTCATTGAACACCAGAGAATACACACAAGAGCCCAGTGGTACTATGAATACGGGAACACACTGGAAGGGTCCACTTTTGTGAGCCGTAAGAAAGTTAACACTGTGAAGAAACTGCATCAGTGTGATGACTGTGAGAAAATATTCCGGTGGCGTTCACACCTGATTATACATCAAAGAATCCACACTGGGGAGAAGCCCTACAAGTGCAATGACTGTGGCAAAGCTTTTAATCGGAGCTCAAGGCTTACTCAGCATCAGAAAATCCACGTGGGATAAGCCATTTGCCTGTATAAATGTGAATAAAACTACAGCCTTAACTTACGGTTTTATATGAGATCCTTTGTACTGACAGTTTAGAGTATCAGGAGCGATTCAGAATTGCACTGTTGAGAAAGAGTATTGACCTTCATGCAAACTGTTTATTTGCTGGAATGTCTGACGCTAACTAACCCATTGGATGAAGCCCATGTCTCCAACCCGGTGCCACCTGTAGTTCTGAGTCCCTGGGGGACACCCCAAGGCCCTGCAGCCGAGGGGGAAGCGTGTGAAAGGCCCTGTGAGCCCTGCAGCGCCGAGTGAGTTCATAGTTCCGCAGGATGTTTTCCTCAGAGGGCCAGTCCCAGGCTGGCTCCCACAGTAGGAAACGTGTGGCTCATGTCAGAGGATGTCTAGGGTCCCTCCCTAACCCGTACGCCCTCCACCTACTCTTTCCAGAAGAGCAGCCCAGGGAAGGGGCAGGCTGGGGAAGTGCCACTGTTGTCACTGGAGTCAGGGACACCTGAGGCCCAGGGCCTGTGTGCTTATCTGAAAACATGAAATTGTAGGGTAACTGGAAGAACGTGTGTATGGGAGCACATCACACTGCCTGGCAGGGAGTAGTACTGTGGGTGACTTCACGTGCCCCCCCTCCCTGCCATGTATGTGGTCCAGTCCCAACCCCACCTCCTGTGCCTGCTGCCCCCAGTGCTTTCCTGGTCATGCGAGGCTGCTCTGGCTAATCTGACAGGCTCAGGTTGTACCCATCTGACACTGTCCTGGAGCATGTAAGGCCATCATCCCCAAGCTCTGCTTTGCAGGGTGAGACCTACAGTGCTGGCCTTGGCCCTGTTGCTGGTGTCCTGGTCTTTAGCTGTGGACTATGCCAGTGGACAGTAGTCATCGGGACCCATGTGAGACCTGCTGGTCTTTGATGTCTGCTGGTTAGTTACAGTACAGTATTTGAGCCAGAAAGACCCATCCCCAATGGAGAGAAACTTCATGGTGTTGTCCGTGAGCAAGTGTGTAACCAGAGGGAGCTATGGCCCAGGCACTTTATGAATCGGTCCAGTTGAAGCAAGTACAGGCCCGTGTGTGGCCAGGAGCTCTCACTGTTGGTGTCTGTTGGGCACAGCAGAGTTCAGGGTGGTTGTGCCCATAAGATTGTGTCTTCGCAGCCTACAGGTGGGGATCAGACCCCACAACTGCACCCAGACTGTCCACTCTAGGGACAAAGAACCACCACCTCGTCTCCACCTACAGCAATCTCACAGCTGTGAGATCTGCGCCCACTGCAGTAGCTTTCATCTCATCCCTTCAGCCACCCACCGTTCAGAGCTTTCTCTGAAGGGGTCAGTGGAAGAGTTACAGGGACGCCGCAGAGGTGTGTGATGTCCTCAACCTGTGAGGGCTGCTGTGGAGCGGGAGGGGGTTCGGCAAGTCATGGGCTCAGACAGTCACCTCCACATCTAGGACGGTGTGAGATGTCTCCTCTAGTGGGCTGCAAAGTAAAGCTTTAGGCTGTGTGGGTTACCCAGTGACAGGACCAGAGTGTTCTCGGTCTACGGCCTCATAAGGCCATTTTGGTCCCTAGTAGCTGCTCCTGCTCACTTCCTGGCTAATGGTCAGGGGGAGGAGTGGTCGATTATATGGAGTTAGGGAACTTCCAGGCTCTGTTCTGCTTGCCTTCCTCCCACTGCAACCGACCAAGAAGGGCAAGGCCTGACGTTTGAAATGGTTCTCAGCTCCTGACAGCCCTAAAACAGGGGCTGGCAAACTTGGGGCCTTGCTGCATGCGTTGTGTGGTCCAAGAACTGAGGGTGTTTTCGGTGTTTCTCAATGGCTGGGGGCAGGGGAGAGGACGACAAAAAAACAAAGACAACAAAACACCATTTTGTGACATTTGAAAATTCCACTAAACCTCAGAGCAGGGTTTTGGTGGAGCAAAGCCACACCTATTTACAGGCCGGCCTCTGCCGCGGCACCAGCCCTCCACACTGCCTGCCTCATGTTGCGCTCGGAAGAAGCTTCATGCCCTCCAGCTGCGGGGGAATTCTTTTTCCTCTCAGGGGTTTGTTCTCCTGAATCCGCCCACGTGACTGAGAGCGAAGCCGTGTGGTCGATTCTGTGAAGTCGGTCTGGACCAGAATGGGACGAGGAGTTCTCCGGCTGCATCCGCGTGAAAGAGGTGTGTGACGTGTGTGTGCCGTGAGCCCGGGGTGTCAGTGCTGCGCGGGTCTGTTTCAGATCCCAGTGGAATGAACACCAGGGTGAGGCGTTCTCACAGGCACTGTGAGGTACTGCAGTTGTGTATTCTTTCAAGCTCCGTGTCAGCTCCAGTCCATATATCAGTAAACTCAGAGAATTTTCAGAAGTGTATTTCAGAGGAACTTCAAAAAGATTTGGATTTCTATTTCAGTTAATAAACCTGTAACTTTGGCCTGAAATTGCTTCTGTTTTCAAATTCAGACTGATAATCGACTTAGCCGTGAATTGGAACAATTTTGTGCTCCCTGGAAGCTTCGCAAATGAACAGCGAAAGACAGGGCCTGGCTGGCTTGTGTATCCCCATTTCCCAGAGTGTGGCTCACATCAGGTCCCCAGAGATGGCTGCTGAGTGAATGATGCACTCGGAGCATCCATGCATCTGGGTCAGGACACCGAAGAGAAACTCCTCCAGCAAAAAGTTTCCACAGGGGACTGACTAAGGCTAACAAAGCCAGATGCCAGCGTCTTCTCTGCAAGGCCTTGTGTAAGCCCTGGGGACGAAGATGGAGAGGGCCACAGGGCCGGCGATGTGGCACAGTGGGTTGAGCTGTTGCCTGTAATGCTGGCATCCAGTATGAGCGCCAGTTCAAGTCCTGACTGCTCCACTTCCCTGATAATGTGCTTGGGAAAGCTGCAGATGATGGCCTACTCGGGCCCCTGCACCTGTGTGGGAGACCTGGATGGAGTTCCAGACTCCTGGCTTCGGCCTGGCCCAACCCCAGCTGTTGTGACCATTTAGGAAGTGAACCAGTGCATGGAAGCTAGCGCTCTCTAATTGTGCCTTTCAAATAAATAAATGGGGGGGGGGGAGGGCTGGACAAGGGACACGGCCAGTTGCCCTGGCATCTCAGGCCTGGTCGGGGAGACTGCACGTAGAGGAGGATGGGGAGGCCTCCCAGCCACAGTATCAGCACCATCTCAGCCAGGCAGGATCAGGGCAGTCACCAACTACCTGCACCTGCCACCTCTTACTGTTTGGCCATGGAGCTAAGAATGGTTTTTAATTGGTTGAAAACAGTCTGTGGCACATGACACAAATGTTACCATTCATGAAGTAACTGTTGGTAGGACGCTTAGATAAAGTAAGTTAGAGGCAGTGGGTGAAAGAGGTGGCCCCTGGACCTCCAGGCCTGCTCCACAGCTAGGAGGATCCAGTCCAGCTGGGTCCTGTCAGCTTCCACTGGATCCTGCTTGCGCCATCCCCTGCTCTCTGGCACTGGGGCTGTGCAGCTGCAGGAGCCCTGATGGGCACGTTAGTTTGGTTTCCACTTTTCCTATGTGTGTCTTGGACACCACACAACACCTGTATCTGCCTGGTCCCTTGAGACATTCATAGCCATTTGGGAAGTGAACCAGCACATGGAAGCTAGTGTGCACTCCCTCTAATTCTGCCTTTCAAATAAGTAAATCGGGGTGTGGTGGGAAAGATGGACAAGGGACAAGGCCAGCTGTCCTGGAGTCTACAACAGAGTGAACTGGAACAAACCCAGAATCTCCAACCCCAGAGACACCAAAAGTTCAACCTAAGGACTGAAGGCAGCTTGGGAAGCAGAGGGGCCAGGCCAGCAAGTCCAAGCAGGACCAGGTCTCCTGAGGAAGGAGGGGAAGGGGCTGCTGTGGTCCCGGCTGATGGCAGAAAGGCACACACATTGCCTTCTGTGGCGGGCTGGTGAGTCCAGGACCTGGAACCCAGCAAGGTGGAGACAGGACTGAGCAGACAGCTACAAGCGTGTGCCCTCGAGGGAGCCTGGGCCACTTCCGGAACCTACCGATCCCTCTCAGGTCCTCAGGGTGGAGTCTGGAGGGAGGAGGACATGCTGGCTGGAATAGGAAACACCAAGAACAGCGCTGGAGCATCCAGAAGTGAGGGGCAGTCCCCAGCCAGCGGGCAGACACCCCTGCTGACCCCCAGGACGACACATGCAGCTCAGCTTGCCCCTCTGTGAAGTGGAACGACCTTTACCTGTGAGGTCTGTGCAAGCTTGGGGTAGTTTCCAAGTGGCAGCTCTGTTCTCCCTAGGGACAGGTGGTGGCCCTGTGCCTGCCGGCGTCCCTGTGCCCACATACATCTCGGCTCTGCCTTTCCAGAACCCGTATTTACACTGTATCTGTGTCTTCGTGGATTACCATGAGTGAGCGCTGCTCATGTAGCTTCTAGGGCTACAGACGTGTGGAACAGCTGGTGAAGCCGCCCCTCGGGACACGCACACCCCGTGTCAGAGTCCAGTGCGAGTCCCAGCTGCTCCACTTCTGATCCAGCTCCCTGCTAATGCATCTGCAAAGCAGCAGATGGAAGATACCTCCCGCCCACGTGGGAGACCTGGGTGTGGTTCTTGGCTCCTGACTCCAGTCTTGCCCAGCCCCAGCAGTTGCTGCCATTTAGGGTGTGGACTAGCGGATGGAATCTTTCTCCCTCTCTCTCTGTGACTTCCAAATAAGTAAATCTTTTTTTGTTTTTTAAAGATTGATTTATTTACTCGAAAGTCAGAGTTACACAGAGAGAGAGGTCTTCTACCTGCTGGTTCACTCCTTAGTTGGCCACAATGGCCAGAGCTGCACCAATCCAAAGCCAGGAGCCAGGAGCCTCTTCCTGGTCTCCCACGTGGGTGCAGGGGCCCAAGGACTTGGGCCATCTTCTACTGCTATCCCAGGCCACAGCAGAGAGCTGGATGGGAAGTGGAGCAGCCGTTCTTGAACCAGCACCCAAATGGCATACCGGCACTGCAGGCAGTGGCTTTTACCTGCTACGCCACAGCACCTGCCTCAGTAAAATTTTTAAGATTGATTGATTTGAAAGAGTTAGAGAGGGAAGGAGAGGTGGCGGTGGGGGGTGGGGGTTCCATCCACTGGTTCACTCCCCAACTGGCTGCAACGGCCGGAGCTGCTCTGATGTAAAGCCAAGAGCCAGGAGCTTCCTCCAGGTCTCCCACGTGGGTGCAGGGGCCCAAGGACGTGGGCCATCCTCCACTGCTTTCCCAGGCCACAGCAGAGAGCTGGATCGGCAGTGGAGCAGTGGGGACTCGAACCAGCATCCACATGAGATGCCAACACTGCAGATGGCAGCTTTACCCGCTATGCCATAGCACCAGCCCCTAGTAAATCTTTTTCTAAAAAAAACAGTCAATACTAGGAAGGCCCATGAGGCAGCTTCTTCCTCACTGCATAATTGAGAACCGCAGTGTTCCAGTCCAAGTCGCCCACGGGGCCCACAGGGTGCCTGCATGGGGAGACGCCCAGGCCAGGCTCAGACTCTGTCTCGGTCACACTGGACAAATGTTGCTGTGATAATGATAATCTGCACACGGAAGCCAGAGTCTCGGTGGCTCTCTACTTTCAGCATATTTCTGGCTCCAAGTTTGTACACAGGTTCAGCTCCAGGCACCAGAGGGTGAGCAGAGACAACTGGTACCTCCGAAGGCCTCCTCTGGGCTGGCACTGTCTCCTTCCACTCTCCACAATCACAAATGTGGGCCACAAGCAAAGTCACTGGGACAGAAGGAAGCCTTGCCAGGTGAGGAGAAAAGGGCCCGCCCTGTGCCTTACTCTGAGTTAAATGATTTAACACACAGGGCCGGCACTGTGGCACAGTGAACTAAGCATCCACCTGTGGTGCTGGCATCCCATATGGGCGCCTGTTCGAGACCCAGCTGCTCCTCTTCTGATCCAGATCTCTGCTGTGGCCTGGGAAAGCACTGGGAGACGGCCCAAGTCCTTAGGCCCCTGCACCCACATGGGAGACCAGGAGAAGCTCCTGGCTCCTGGCCTCAGATGGGGCCAGCTCCATGTGTTGCGGCCATTTGGGGAGTGAACCAGTGGATGTAAGACATTTCTGTCGGGCCGGCACCGCAGCTCAATAGGCTAATCCTCTGCCTTGCAGCACCGGCACACCGCGTTCTAGTCCTGGTCAGGGCGCCGGATTCTGTCCCGGTTGCCCCTCTTCCAGGCCAGCTCTCTGCTATGGCCCGGGAAGGCAGTGGAGGATGGCCCAAGTGCTTGGGCCCTGCACCCGCATGGGAAGACCAGGAGAAACACCTGGCTCCTGGCTTCAGATCAGCGCGGTGTGCCGGTCGCGGTGGCCATTGGAGGGTGAGCCAATGGCAAAGGAAGACCTGTCTGTCTGTCTCTCTCACTGTCCACTCTGCCCGAAAAAAAAAAAAAAGACATTTCTGTCTCTCCCTCTCTTTGTCTGTAATTCTACTTCTCAAGTAAATAAATAAAATATTTAAAAAAGAGTGTTAACGCACAAGAAGTGCTCACAGAGGTGGCCAGACAGGAACTCAGTTAACACCTGAAGTTGCAATGCTGGGCTATGGCCTTTAGGGGGCGTTCAAGAGACACCTAAAGAGAAATGGAAGGGAGCCAGGAGCTTTTTCCGGGTCTCCCACGCGGGTGCAGGGGCCCAAGGACTTGTGTCATCTTCCACTGCTTCCCCAGGCCCTGGCAGAGAGCTGGATCAGAAGTGGAGCAGCCGGGTCTGGCACGTTAGGCCAGGGCATCAACCCACTTGCACCACAGCGCTGGCCCCCGAGATGGAAGGTTTAAAAAGCCTTGAAAATGTTGACACTACCCTGTTCCTACTTCTAAACAGTCTGAATATAGAAAATGTGCTGACCACTAACATCACTGTGATTTGTAGTAGTTAAAAAAGAAAACACACAGAAGCCCACTAATATAAGGAGTGGCTAGTGGTCTTGAGGGTAGTTTTACAACCATTGAACAGCAGTGTCACACAGAAAGTTCAACGAACGGAGATGTGCTAATACATGAAGACACACAGACTCACAACAGAAGCATCGAATCTGAAAGAGCTACTGGTGAGGTAGAACAGGTAAAGCCGCTGCCTGTGACGCCAGCTTCCCACACAGGTGTCAGTTCACGGACTGGCTGTTCTACTCCTGATCCAGCTCCCTGCTAATGGCCTGGGAAAAGTGTTTAGGCTCCTGCCACCCTCATGGGAGACCCAGATGAAGCCCCCAGCTCCTGACCTCAGACTGGGCCAGTGCTGGCCATTGTGGCCATCTTGGGAGTGAACCAGCGGATGAAAGCACTGTCTCTCCCTCTAACTCTTCCAAATAAAAAAATAAATCTTGTAAAGTCTGGAAAGAGGTCAGAGTGATTTTGGTGAGGGTGGGTGTGTGGCACAGTGGGTTAAGCCTCTATTTGGGATACCTGCAACCCACACTGGAGCGCCTGGCGTCGAGTCCCGCCTCCATGTCCCATTCAGCTTCCTGCTAATGGCCTGGGAGGCAGCAGATGATGGTTCAAGACTTGGGTTCTGACCACCTGCTGGGAGACCGGGATGGAGTTGTGGCTTTGACCTGGCCCAGTCCGGGCTTCTGTGGGTATTTGCTGAGTGAATCAGTAATGCAGATTTCTTTCCCCATTTTTTTTTTTTGTCACTCTGCCTTTCAAATAAATACAATTTAAAAAGATGTTTCATGGCTATATACAGGCAAAAGGATCCTTTTTAAAAAATATTTACTTGAAAGGCAGAGTTATGGCGGGAGAGGGGGAGAGAGAGAGGGAGAGTCTTCCATCCGCTTGTTCACTCCTCAAATGGCCGCAACAACCAGAGCTGAGCCAATTCAAAACCAGGAGATTCTTCCAAGTCTCCCATGGGAGTGCAAGAGCCCAAGGACTTGGACCATCTTCTACTGCTTCCCCATGTCATAGCAGAGAGCCAGATCAGCAGTGGAAGAGCTGGGACTCAAACTGGCACCCACGGGGGATACCAGCACTGCAGGCAGTGGCTTTACCTGCTATGCCACAACACTGGCCCCAAAAAGACTTTTTGATTATTGGGGTGGGGGTATGGTGCAGCAGGCAACACTGTTGTCAAGTCACAGTTACTCCACTTCCAATCCAGCTTCCTGCTCATGTGCCTGGAGTCCATGGGTGATGGCCCAGGACATGGGTTCCTGCCCAAGAGATGGAGATCCCAGTTCCTGGCTTTGTCCTTGTCCAGCCCTGGCTGTCAGATACTTGGAGCGTGAACCAGTGAATCCAAGGTCTCTACCAACATCCCCACTCCTCTGCTGCTGCCACTCTGCCTTTCAAATAAATAAATACAAATTGTTTTACCTGGAGGGGAAGGGGGTGGGAGAAAGAAGGAACGAGGGGAATATCTTTATAGACCTGTCTATGTGTTGAATCTGTTAAAAACTAAAAAAACAGTTAAAAATAAAAAAGTTGGCATTGGAGTGGCCTTGTACATGTTTAACTATTGTAGGAATAAGATGTCCGAGATGTTTATAATTTCAAGCAGGGAAATATATGGAAATTGGTATGTGAAGGCCTTTTACTGTTGCAGAAATAAATCTTCCAGGCTGGCACCGCGGCTCACTATGCTAATCCTCCGTCTGCGGCGCCGGCACCCCGGGTTCTAGTTCCATTTGGGGCGCCAGATTCTGTCCTGGTAGCTCCTCTTCCAGTCCAGCTCTCTGCTGTGGCCCGGGAGTGCAGTGGAGGATGGCCCAAGTGCTTGGGCCCTGCACCTGCACAGGGAGACCAGGAGGAAGCACCTGGCTCATGGCTTTGGATCAGCGTGGTAGGCCGCAGCGCACCAGCCGCAGCGGCCATTGGGGGGTGAACCAACGGAAAGGAAGACCTTTCTCTCTGTCTCTCTCTCTCACTGTCTAACTCTGCCTGTCAAAATAAATAAATAAATCTTCCAGTGATCAAGGAAAAAAACAGATTTGCTTTTTCAGGTTCTTTCCAGGTAAATCAAATACATGGCCGCTAAGCACGGTTCGTGGTTGTGGAACACGAGGCTGTGGTGCAGAACACCCCTGCAGAGCTGGGGCGCATTTCCCCCGGTGCCGGCAGGGGGTGGCTGGGTACCCAGGGGCAGGCAGGGTCCAAGAACCACACTGAGGCTGAGAGGCACCAGGCAGCCGTGCGCTCTCCAGCTGAGCCAGGGCTCGGCCCCCAGCTCAGTCCGCAGCCGTCTTCCTGGGCAGCTGCCAGCCCTCGGCGGTGGCCTCCTTTCTGTACTCTTGGCCCACACCTATCGGAGACGGCGAGGGCCAATCAACCTGCAGACAGCCTGTGCTGGTAATGTGGCCTGGCACCAGCTGGGCTTCCAGGACAGACACAAAGCCCATCTGCTGTTCTCAGAAGATGCTGCGGCTCGGATCCGTTTACCTGGAGGCTTGTGAGCTGTTCCTGGCAGAGCACAGCCCAGACCTGGACCAGGGTCTCCAGAGCCCGCTGAGGGATACTGCAGCGGGCGAAGCACCGAGGCCCTGGAGTTAGGCGGGAGGCTGCAGAGGCCACGCAGCCGCCCCTCTCCAGCCACCACCAACCCCCCCACCGCCCCTCTGAGGGGCTCCCCGCGCCCCTACATGCTGCTCCCAGGCAGCAGCCAGGTCACGCCCCTCCTCTGCTTCACTCAGAATTCAGCCCCTGTTCTCACAGAGGCCTCCCGCCCGGCCACAGCCACGGGGGCCCACACTGGCCAGCCTCCAGCGGCAGCTCTTACACGGCCGTTCCCTCTGCCCAAGTGAGGTCCCCTTGGGCCGTCTGCTCCCTCACCTCCTTCGCGTGCTTGCTCAGACACCACACCCCCAAACGTGGCCACCCCACAACCACCTCCCCTGAAACCTGCATCCCACCACTTAGCCCTAGCGCACCACTTGCTAGCACCGGACAAGGTGAGCAGCCCCCTTCCACGCTGTGACGTTTCTTCTCCTCCAAACCCACTGGTGTCAGCTCCGCACGGACCAGGATCTGGGACAGAAGCGCGACAACCTCCGGACTGCAACGGAGGATTCACAAACGCATGCAAGCTGAGCCCGGATGTTATGTGGGGCCAGGCTTGGCAACCTCGTGGCATCTGCAGGGCCCTGACCTGACCACCCCAGCCATCCCTGGCAGCAAAGACCACTGGCCAGGGACAGGGGAGGGTGCAGTTTAGCGCCCACCTAGGGAACATGCTTTTAATGGCTGCTTTGCTTCCAGATAAGACACAGCTGTCTTTTTCCATGAAACACAAAACTGCACAATGCCATGCGCTCACTGCCGCTGAGCTGCCTTTTGGCACCCTCTGTAGCGTCTGCCCAGCTGAGCTGTGCGGCGAGGGTCAGTCCTGCAGCTTGCGCTCACACCTCTTCTCCAGCGCCGCCATCTCTTTCAGCGCCAGGGCCACACTGTATCGCAGCTCCTGGAACTTGGCCACGGGGACCTCGAACCGGTGTTTGGACCCATCAGAAAGACTCAGCTGCACCAGGACACTTGGCTGCAGAGAGCGGGCCAGCGCGCTGGTGGAGATCGCTACGTCCACCCGCCACCGGAAGTCGGTCATGTGGGGCAGCCAGGCCCCTCGCTGCCGGGCGACGGCGTCGAGGAGGGGCCGCGGGCTCCCGAACACCGCGCTGGCCAAGTCCCCGGCCAGGTCCTGGGGAATGCTGAGCTCCTGCAGCTGGTCCCTGAAGGAGTCAGGCTTCAGGCTGGCGGGCGGCAGCCGGAGGGCCTGCTGGAGCAGCGTGTGCGTGCCCCCGAGCAGGGCGGCCAGCCGCTCCTCCGGCAGGTCGGCGCTGGCCCGGAGGCGCTGCACAGCCTCCCGGCAGTCCTCCCCCTGCAGGCCGCCGACCACGAGCTTCAGCAGCCTCCTGAAAGTGCTCCTGTCCAGGTCTCCCAGGAGCCGGGCCATGGCTGCCACCTCCGCGGGGGGCTGGGACCCCAGGAAACTGACTTGGCCAGGGTGATGCAGGTACGGAGCTGCGGCCCCCAAGGCAGACATCTCTGCTTCCTCCTCCGGGGTCAGCCGGCCCAGAGGGGAGGTCCCAGCTGCGGCTGCCTGGGGGAGGGAGAGACCAGTGATTCCCAGGTCCTGGGGGCAGAAGAGGGCCGATGGCGGTGTCCGAGTGAGCCACGGACGAGTCACCGTGACGCGTGCTAGGGACGTGGCCCCTGCAGGTCGCACAGGACTGGGGGTGGGGGGAGCACGAGTGAGCCCTCCTCATGAGCGGCGGCCTCGGCATTCACCCTCACTCCTCGGAACAGCGGCAGCCAACGCCTCGCCTTCCACACACGCTACCCGGGTCAGGAGCAGACCAGGCCGGGTGCTCGGAAGGCCCTGCTGCCTTCGCCAGCGGGAGGGGTCGGACCCCGGCGCAGCGAGCAGCGCGCAGCACCGCGGGCACGCGCGCCCTCGGTCGGGAACCCCAGAGCACCCGCCAGCCGATCCCCAGAGGCTCGGCTCCCCCCAGAGCGGCCTGGGCGCGGGCTCGCCTTCGGCCACACTGCCCGAGAAGGCCAAGTCGGCCCCGCCGTGCGCCCCCGGACAGCGGGATCCACTCTCGGCTGCCGCTCCTCCCGCGGATAAGCTGCCGGCGCCCAGCCCCCGGCCCAGGGAGACCCCACAGCGCCCAGCGCAGCCCCGCCCGCGCGGCCCCACGAGCCCCCGCACCTGGCACAAGCGGCCCAAGCGGCTCCACCGTGGGGCGAGGGCGCGGCGGCGGCCGGAAGCTGGGCCTGGCTCCCGGAAGCGCCGCTGCACTTCCCGGCCGCTCTAGGAATCCGGGAGGCCCCGCTCTCTTGGCCCGCGGGCCCGGGGGGCGGAGCCGAAGCCGCGCCAGGCCCCGCCCCCGCCGTCCGGGCTGCCCGCGCTCTGGGCGGTCGGCGGCCTCCTGCGGCCTGGTCCTGGGTCTCGGGTCGCTCTGTGTCTTTGGAAGCGACCCGGAAGTCGCGTGTTCCGTCCGTCTCCGAGGTGGCCGCTGAGCCTGGGCCACCTGCGCGCGTCCCCTCAGGCAGCGCAGGGGCCGCGGGCTGGCCCGGGGGCGGGGATGGGGGCAGCCTCCTGACCAGCGCGAGTGTTACCTTGGAAAGCGCTGTGTAAGCCACTGAGGCGGGCTTGGGGACTGGGCCGGGCCCCGCTGGGGCGGCCCGGCGCTCTCCTTGGGCGGCCCAGCCCCCTGCCCAGGCTGACCAGCAGTGAGCCGCCAGGGCGCCCGTCCTCTGGGACAGCTGGCCCTCGGGTGACCGCTGGGGCCCAGCGCAGGCCCAGTCCCAAGCAGTGGCTTCAGTAAGCTTTAGTTAATGCCTTACTGTCGTTTAAAAGCTGCTGCGATAGACCAAAGCCACGGACTCCTACCCTTCTTTCTCAAGGTTTCTTTGTTTCAGAGCGTTTTCATCCTCCGGTTTGCTTCCCAGAGGCCACAATAGCTAGGGCTGGGCCAGGCAGAACCGGAACCAGGGACGCCACCGGGGCCTCCACGTGCCGGCAGGCACCCGGGCACTCGGGCCTGCGTCCTCTGCCTTCCCAGGTGCGGTAGCGGGAGCTGGCCACCGCCAGGCTGCCAGGACCGCTGAGCCGCGGGTGCCGCCGTAACCCACTGCACCACACAGCATCCTGGCCCGAGCCGACCCTTCAAATGAGTGGGATGTGTGGGTGTGAACCTTACCTTAATACAGCTTTTCACAAAAACCTCGACAGGAAAGGCAGACAACTCAGTTGACTAAATGGGCAAACAAGATGACTAGACGTTTAATCAGGGAGCATAGCATGGCTAGTGAGTACACAAGATGTTCAGAACCGTTGGTTGTTAAAAAACGGAGACTGCAGTCGCCAGGAAGTGCCATCTCACGCCGTTGCAATAGAGACAATAGCTAGTGATGAACAGCGTGTGGACAGATTAAACACTCCTACACTGCTGGTGGGCGAGCAGACGGGCGTGGCTACAGTGGAAGAGGATTGTCTTAAAAAGTTAGAAATATTTGCGACTGTGACAGGGGGGTGTTTTAAAAATTTAAAACGAGACAAAGTCAAGTCAAAGTCTGTGGGTCGTGTTGAGTGAACATTAAGGAAACCTTTGGTACCGGAGGACATCAGATGCCGGACACCTGGCGCCAGCCATGACGTCAGCGGGAACAGGTGTTATTGCTGATTGCTAACCTCTCGCTCACCAAGCCTGTGCCATTAACTGCTGATAACAGAATGTGGTTTTGCCTTTAAGCCCCCCCCCCCCCACAACTCACTGCTGTCTTCTCCGGGCTGGCTAATAAAGACTCCTAACTTGACCTCAAAGTCTCGCTGGTTTTTTTGTTTGTTTATTTGTTTTTAAAGTATTACTTATTCATTAGAAAGATAAAATTACAGAGAGGGAGAGAGAGAGAGAGGTCTTCCATCTGCTGGTTCACTCCCCAGATGGCCGCAACAGCCAGAGATGGGCCGATCCGAAGCTAGGAGCCAGGAGCGGCCGGTGCCATGGCTCACTAGGCTAATCCTCCACCTGCGGAGCCAGGAGCCAGGTGCTTCTCCTGGTCTCCCATGCGGGTGCAGGGACCAAGCACTTGGGCCATCCTCCACTGCCCTCCAGGGCCACAGCAGAGAGTTGGACTGGAAGAGGAGCAACCGGGATTAGAACCCAGTGCCCATATGGGATGCTGGCACCTCAGGCAGAGGATTAGCCAAGTGAGCCAAGGCTCCGGCCCCCAAAAGATAAGAAGTTTTAAGAAAATTTATTTATTTATTTGAAAGGCAGAGTTAGAGAGACAGAGGCAGAGAGAGATCTTCCATCCACTGGTTCACTCCCCAAATGGCCACAAGAATCGGAGCAGAGCGGATATGAAGTCAGGAGCTAGGTGCTTCTTCCAGGTCTCCCACGTGGGTGCAGGGGCCCAAGGACTTGAGCCATCTTCCACCGCTTTCCCAGGTGTATTAGCAGGGAGCTGGATTGGAAGTGAAGCAGCCGGGACTCGAACTGTTGCCCAGATGGATGCCAGCATTGCAGGTGGCGGCTTTACCGGCTATGCCATAGTGCTGGCCCAGCCTCGGATTCCAATTCTTTTGCACTAAAATTGATTTTTTTAGGGTTTGTTTATTTATCTGAGGGGCAGAGTTACAGAGAGAATCTTTCATCTGCAGGTTCACTCCCCAAATGGCTGTAATGGCCAGAGCTGGGCTGATCTGAAGCCAGAATCCGGGAGCTGCTTCTGAATCTCCCTCCTGGGTGCAGGGGCCCAAACTCTTGGGACATCTTGCACTGCTCTCCCAGGTGCAGTAGCAGGGAGCTAGATAGGTAGGACAGCTGGGACTCAAATCGGCACCCATATGCGATGGTGGCGTCACAGCGTTGGCCCCTAAAATTTATCTTTTGTTTTTGTTATCCATGAAAATTTTGAAGTAACCCTCATATTTCACTATTTCTGTACAATGGGACGCTATTAAGCAATAAATAGAAATGGAATACTGATACGCCAAAACATGAATGGATGTTGAAAACATTGTACAACCTGAAAAAGCAAGACACAAAAGACCATATATTCAAGGCCAATAGGGATAGAAAATGTCCAGCAAAGTCCTCCAAAATTCACACACTGAAACTCCAATTCCCACACCTCAGAATGTGACTGCATTTGGATATAGATGATTAAAAGGGTGAGTAGGTAAAAATGCGGCCATTGTGTGGGTAACACCGACTGCCTGGGGTCCTTAGGAGATGGTGTGAGGACCCAGCAAGAAGGGGCCCCAGAAGAAACCAAACCTGCCGGCACCTTGGCCTTGGCCTTCTCCAGACCTGTGAGAAAATAAGCTTGTGTTGTTCAAGCCAGCAGGTGTGTGGCATTGTTATGGCAGCCTGAGCTAGGACATAGGAACACACATTGTGATCTCTTGGGAGATACCACTCTCAGCATAATATCTGATGACTCAAGTGCCTGCTATTGGGTGTTTGTTTCATTTTATAGCACAGTAGTTTGAATTCAGCATAGTTTGTTCGTTCTTATATGGATAAATATCTGAGGTGTTTCAGAATTTACCTGTTGTAAATAACATTCAAATTCAAGTCTTCTATACGCATGTGCTCATTTCTCTTGGGTGTAGGGTCAGAATAGGCATGTGCTGCCTATGATTCAGAACTGGTTGTGCCACCTAATACTTGCATCAGAGCACCGAGGATTTCCAGGTGCTCTGCATCCCTGCCAACTTTTGGCACTGCCAGACTTTGAACGTGGTCCATTCTGGTGAGCTGATGGTGGTTTGTCTCTGGTTTTCCCTGATGACCAGTGATACTGTGTACTTTTTCATGTGCTCATTGGACACTCACGAATCTTCTCTGTAAATGGTTTGTTCAGATTTTTCCCTTATTTATTGTGTGGCTTTGCATTTTATTATTGCATTGAATGAGTTTTAAGAGTAGTTTTTGTATTTGAAAGGAAGATTTACAGAGAGAAAGAGCAAGAAAGAGGTCTTCCATTTACTGATTCACTCCCCAAATGGCCACAACACCCAGGGCTGGGTCAGGCCAAAGCCAATAGCCTGGAGCTCCACCTGAGTTTCCCAAGGGCAGTGCCAACTTTTGCTGCTTTCCAAGGCACATTAGCAGGGAGCTGGATCAAAAATGGAGCAGCCAGAACTCGAACTGGTACTCATGGGATGCTGGCATCACAGGCTGTGGCTTAACCCACAGCATCAGTCCCTTTTTTATCTGAGAGACAGAGGAACAGAGATGGACAAAAAACTTCCACTCACTGGGCTCACTCCCTAAATGCCTGGAACAGCTGGCCAGAGCCAGAAGCCAGGAACCCAGTCCAGGTGTCCCATGAGGTTGGTAGGAATCCAGCGGCTTGAGTCAGCACTGCTGTCTTCCCAGGTGCATTAGCAGGGAGCTGGATTGGACGTGGAGCAGCAGAGACTCGAACCAGTGCCCATACAGGATGCCAATTTCGCAGGTGACTTAACCTGCTATGCTGCAATGCTGGCCCCAATGTTTATCTTTTATTTTTTATCTTTTAATTACATTTTAATTTTTTATTTTATTTTTTATTTTTTGACAGGCAAAGTGGACAGTGAGAGAGAGAGACAGAGAGAAAGGTCTTCCTTTTGCCGTTGGTTCACCCTCCAGTGGCTGCTGTGGCCAGCACACCGCGCTGATCCGAAGGCAGGAGCCAGGTGCTTCTCCTGGTCTCCCATGGGGTGCAGGGCCCAAGGACTTGGGCCATCCTCCACTGCACTCCCTGGCCACAGCAGAGAGCTGGCCTGGAAGAGGGGCAACCGGGACAGAATCCTGCGCCCCGACCAGGACTAGAACCCGGGGTGCTGGTGCCGCAGGCAGAGGATTAGCCTAGTGAGCCACAGCGCCGGCCTTTTAATTCCATTTTCTAAGAATATTTCAAAATACCCTTGTATAATGGTACTTTAAACAGTTCATGGAAAATGCTTATTATAAAAATATGCTTTGATTTAAAAGTTTTTGTGTGAAAATATGCTTCATATGTGTGGGGAGCAACTGAGACTAGACTAGGTTACTGGAATTAAGACTAATTCTATGCATCTGCTCTCCCACAATATGGCGCTGGGAGAGGAGGAAACAACCTCTACGCAGCTGCCTCTCACCAATTTGACTGATAAGCTGCAGGAGCTGATCCTGCTCCTGATTGGAGGAGAGCAGCTGTACTCGGCGTGTGGGTAGCAGAGTTGGGATTGGCGGAAGAGGACTATAAAGGAGGAGAGAGACAACATGCACCAGGAACATCTATCTGAAGGAACACCTGAGCAGCCCCCGAGAGAGCCGGCCAGCGGTGTGCCGCTCCACCGCGGAAGTGGGGAAAGTGGCAGGGGGAAC